GGGGGGGGAGTCACAGGACCAAAACCAGGGGCGCTCTGCCACTGAGCTACATCCCCACTCCTTTTTATTTTATTGTGAGAGAGTTTTGTTAAATTGCCCTATGTGGCCTTGAACTTGGTGATTCTCCTGCCTCAGGCTCCAGAATAGCTGGGATTACAGGCAAGCTTTACTGCACCCTCCTGGGAAGAAGTATCAATATGTTTAGCAAAATTCGATCTGAGACTAGGTTTCCTAACTTGTGATAACTAAATTGTGAAGAGAGTTAACACCCATCCCCTATGCTGGTCTTGAACTTGTGATCCTTCTGCTTCAGCCTCCTGGCTGGCTGGAGACAGTTCCCCACTCCCACCCCATGGGACTGTAGCCACCACCTGTCAGCCCAGAGCAACAGGGCCTGTGTTGCCATGGGTGACACGGCTGCAGCCACCCCAGCGTCCCCGTAGGCCCTCAGGTGGCATCATCTGCATTGTATAGGAGGAGACGGAAGTTCAGAGAGGGTGAGTCACACAGACATTATGGACAGAGCCAGGGTTTCGGCCCCTGACAGAGGGCTCTGTGTCTAAAGGGTAGACAAGTTATTGTTAGACCCAGAAGGGGAAGGTTGACTTGTCCTGTGCTTTATGTGAACACAGAACTTGAGGGATTGGATGATCGTCTCCTTCAGGTTCCTTACATAAATGGTCACATCAAGCCCCATATAGTGGCTCATGCCTGCACTTCGGGAGGCTGAGGCAGGAGCATTGCAAGTTCAAGCCCCGCCCTGGCAACTTAGTGAGTGTGTACAGCCCTGTCTCTAAATAAAAAGTTTAAAAAGTGCTGGGGATGTAGCTCAGTGCAAAGGCCCTGGATTCAATCCCCTGTACAGAAACAGAATAAAGATAAGAACGGCTCAATCTGCAGATGCCCGCCGGCCCCTGTGCACGGGAAGCTGCCCGAGGCTTTCGAAGCCCCAGAACGCACGCACACAAGAACCTGGGAGCGGGACCTGGGGCCCTCGGACCCCAGGCCCCCGCAGGCACAGGTCTGGGTAGCAGTGGGTGAGAGGCAGGCCTCGGGGGACAGGCGTGGGCGCAGGGTGGGCAGAGCTTAGGGTCTGCTCACCCATGCGAGGCAAATGCGCTACCGTGGAGCTATAGCCTCCGCCCGCTTTCATTTTTTAAAAATACAGCTACTAGACCAGACGAGGTGCACGATCCTGTGATCCCAGAACTCAGGAGGCCGAGGCAGGAGATGCTGCCAGTTCAAGGCCAGCCAGGGCTACACAGTGAGACCTTGTTTAAACAAACAAACAAACAAACAACCAGGAAGAATCCAATGGTAGTTGGAGGCGTTGCCGGCAACAAAGGGAGGAATTGGACGCCTACAGCCTCTGCTTGCTTTGTATTCTGAGCTGGTAGTTCACTAGCAGGCCCCCTCGCTTCCTGCTGGTCGCCTCCTCCAGCCATTTTTTTCTAAAGGAGGAAACAGTTATTCATTTATTTTATCGGTAGGGTTTAGATATACATAAGGGTCACATTCGTCATGGTGAATTTGTACCTGTACATGATATATCTGGCTTCTCCCCTGCAGCCCTTTAACCTAAAGCTGCAGCTGCCCCCGCCCACAGGCCTCTCTACACTTTATTTCTGTGTGGCTGCCTATGTTTATTTATCTCTTTTGTGGTTTTTTTGAGACAAAGTCTTACTCTGTAGTTCAGGCTGCAGATGGTGGCCTGTCATTCTAGCTCAGGAGGCTGAGGCAGAAGGATTGCCGAGAGTTCGAGGCCAGCCTGGGCTACATTGCAAGACCCTGTCTCAAAAAACAAAACAAAACAAAACAAAAAAGTAAGTTTCAAGCAGTAATGAGAATTTAGGAAATGTTAATTTCGATAGAGGGTAAATATAACTCCCAACCTGATAGATGCCAGATGTGCCAAATTCGTGTCTCCTGAAATCAAAGAAGGAATTCCAAAGGACAAAGGAGGGTGAAGTAGGAAAGGTTTATTGGGGAACAGGAACGGCTCCTGAGAGACAGGAGGGGTCCCGAGTGGGTTCCCATGAAGGTCATCTCTCTGAGAAAGTTTTATAGAGCAAAATCACAAGGTGGGTACAATGTGGGTCAAACTATAATCAATGGATAAGATTCCAAGTCTAAGGCCAGGGATTTAGCTCAGTGGTGCCACCGCCTGCCTTGCAAGTGCAAGGTCCTGAGTTCGATCCCCGGTACCAAAAACCAAAAAGATTCCAAGTCTAGCTGCTTAGCTGATATTGATCCAAAGGCGAGCAGGCTCAGCAGGGCCGTGTGGGTGACGTCATCACCTATAGCCTTACTCTAACCTTTAGTTTTAGCCTCCGTAGCTTGGTTGGTGAGAGGATGGCCCATGACTAATCCCAGAAGAGTAGGGCTAATTACAGCATAATCTGTTTCCCTTCATCCCTTGGGGGAGTATGTACAACTGGCCATGGTGACTTTAATCTTGAGGTCTTGCCTCCTTCAGCTGTGCCTCCAGGTACAGTTTTGATGTGTTCTCATCTTCTGCACTGACTCCCTGATGGCCTCGCCCCATCCGTTCATTTCTGTCTAACTTGGCTGTCTATAACATCATGGAAGTGAGCAATGTCATGTGACCAGCGCTTCCAAACTGCTGGGTCAAGGACTCCGGGTGTTTGAGGGAGACCAGCACATCTTTTTCTTCTTTGTTTTTGTGGCTAGAACCCAGGTCCTCACCCATGCTAGCGAAGAGTTCTAGTGCTGAGTTCCACCCTAGCTCTTTTAAATGTTGAGACAGAGTCTCACTAAGTTGGCCTTTGGGACCCTCCTGCCTCAGCCTCCCAAATAGGAGCACTAGATGTTTATGTAATGGCACATGAAGAGGTTTTCAGCGCTCAGTTTCCACTAGAAGTTCTACTGTGACTAAGTCTCAGGGAGCTCTTGAGTCCATGTGCAGAGCCGGGCAGGGACAGAGAGGGCAGGACCCCTGTGTCCCTCGCCCAGCCTGGGGCAGGGGGGAGGTTCCTCACAGGGCCACAGAACCAAAGGAGAAGTCACAGTCACAGGAGCGCCTTTGGCCACACCAGGAGTCAAGGACACAGCAAGCTCCTGGGACGACACAGGAGGGCTGGCACTGACCCTCCTAGACTTGTCTCGTGTTGACAAGAACTTTTTTTGGTTTGTTGTTTGCATTCTGGGAACCCAGGCTGCATTCCCAGCTCTCTTCATTTAAAGTTTTGTTTGTTTGCTTTTTTAGGACAAAGTCTCATTGTGCAGTGATCCTCCTGCCTCAGCCCCCTCTGAGTGCTGGGATCCCAGGTGTGTCCCAGCATGCCCACCTTGTTACACATTTTAGCTTGGAAAACGGTTTAAACATCTTACTGCCTACTCATGCAAAGGATTTTGTTGCCATGGACTATCAAAATGTTGGCAACCCACTTGGGACCCCTCCTATCTCTCAGGAGCTATTCTTACACCCCATTCCTACTCCCCAATACATTTTCCTTTAAAAAAATGTCTAACTTTTTGGTGAAGTGTGTCGCACGAAGTGCTTGGCATGGGCGTCACAACAAGCAACAGACCTCCTCACCACCTTTCAAGGGCAAAAAGTGCAACCCTCGAACGGATTTGTGTGCTGCTGGTCAATTTTTATTTCTTGTGTAAAACCGGTTTCACCAAACCAAGCCAAGCTGTTTAGGAGAGATGTTAAAAACACCACCACCACCACCACCACCGCCACCACCATCCCGCGCTGGGATTGGGGTTTGAACCTGGGACCTTCACATGCAGCTAAATCCCCAGCTGCCCACCCCCCTTTTCCTTTTTGAGACCGGGTCTCACTAAATCACTAATTTGCCAGGGCTGGGCAGAAATTCTTCTTAAAATTTTTTGTTATTTTGAGACAAAGTCTTGCTATGTATCCTATGCTAGCCTCGAACACAGCGATCCTCCTGCCTCAGCCTCCCAGAGAGTACTGGGATCACAGGTGTGCTCCACCACGCCCAGTTTATTATTATTTTAAAATCTTATTTTCCCTAACAGCTTTCTAAAAAGTACTGTTCTGGAGGTGCGGGGAGCGATTGCAGGGCCTCATGGGTGGCAGCGCTTGCTGAGCAGCCGCTGTGACCCCGAGCTGTCGCCCCCTCGCCCCCAAGTCGCATGGCACTGCGGGCGGGCGCAGGCTGAGTCCACACCGCCGCCCCCACCACCACCACCACGGGCGCCTGCGGGTCCGGAGGAGGCAGCGCCCGCCCGGCGGGTCAGTCCCGGCCTCAGCCCGCCAGCTGTGATTACTGGATCCCGCGGCTGATGTCACCTGGCGGCGCCCTCCTCAGGGACCGTGACGGCTGTGTGCGTCCTTGCCCTATCGTTGGAAACATTGATTTCTTCATTTTCAAACGTTTTCCTTCTGTGTGTTTCAGAGGGAGGGAGAGAGAAAAAAGCCAGGGACCTTGAAGCTGCGCGCTCGCTCTCCAACCTCCAGGGAGAATGGAGTTTTTTCTGTACCTCTTTGTATTTTGTATTTTTAGTCTGTTTTGGAAACATTTCAACCAGTGTTCGCTTTATTTGTCGGCTGGTTTCTGAGGTAGGGTCTCGCTGTGTAGCTCAGGCTGACCTTGAACTCACTATACACCACAGGATGGCCTTAAATTCCCTGAGATCCTCCTACCTCAGCCTCCCGAGTGCTAGGAGTACCAGCCTGAGCCACCAAGACGGGCTTTCAGGGAATGTTTGCAACATTCTCTGGCCCCGAACGCCCGCCTGCTCGCGTCTCCCATTCCCAAAGCCTGGGGCGAGGACGGGCCGTCCCAGGCTGCGAGCCCCTTGTTCGGGGTGCTTCAGCAGGACTAGGCAGGAAGGACCCGCGCGGCTTGAAACTTGGCCAGCTGCGGTTCCCTGGGGGCGGATGCGGGCGCCTGGATCCCAGCCGCAGAGGGGGGCGCGGCCCCCGGCCCCGCCCCAGGTCCCCGCCCCAGGTCCCCGCCGAGACGCGGCCGAGGAGCGCGGAGACCGCGCAGAACCTTCGCAGCATGGCCGGCGAGGAGCTAGCGCGCGAGCTGCAGCGCCGCCTGCGGCTCGAGGACCCCTCGGAGCCCCGCGCAGCCTCGGGCCCCGCGCCCCCGGCCGGCGTCGACGCCGAGCTGAGCGAGCAACTGAGCCGCCGCCTGCGCATCGCCGAGGGTGCGGCGCCCGCCCGCCGCAGCCGGGTCTTCAACCCCTACACCGAGCTCCCCGGGCTCAGCCGCCGCCGCCTCAGGGACCTGGAGAGCGCGTTCCGGCGGTGAGCGCCCGGCCCGGAGGCGCGGTGGGCGGCCCGGAGAATCGGCCGGGCACCTGGGGCTTCTGGGCGGGACCCCCGTGGCCCGGGCTCCGGGCCTCCCTGGAGAGGGGCCTGTGTATACCCCGCGGTCCCGACTGAGGGATTAATATTTCCGGAATTGGGTCGAGGCCGGAACACGGCCGGGGGCAGGGAGGCCTCAGCCCCCCGGGCTCCGGGCCTTAGACGGGCCTTAGACGGGGGTGGGACGCGAGGCTCTGTTTAAAGGCGCTGGGCGGGGGCCGCGTCGCAGCCCCCAGTGGCAGGCACTGGAGCCCCTGCCTTCGACCCCATTTCTCTCCCCTGGCTTCGGGCACCGTTTCCCGCGTGGGTTTGTGGACGTGACTGGTTGCCATGGGAAGCTGTCCGTGGGGCAGCGGTTTGTCAGAGCCCGAGACCTGCTCGGGTTGTTTCAGGGAAGACCCGGATGCTCCCAGGTCCCACTGGCTCCTCCCAGGCCAGGTGCATTCAGGAGGGCAGCTTGGGGGCCTCAAATTCGGGTTGCTCTGTGTCCACTCAGCTGCTTTCATTTCTCTTGCAAAACGTGTGTGTGTTTGAGTGTGGTGTGTGTGTGTTGAAGACTGAACTCAGGGCCCCAGCTCTTTTTTATTTTTTTTAGACAGGGTTTTGCTAAGTCGCCAGGATTGGCCTCAAACTTTCAGTCCTCCTGCCTCAGCTTCCCAGAGTGCTGTGATTTCAGGCTTGCATCACCACGCCTCGCTTGCAAAACTCTCTTTTTGGAAGGATAAGCTTGTTTGTTGGCTGCCTTGGTTGGCATCTGCATGGAAACAGGTACTGGCTGGGGACAGCAGCGTGTGAACTGCGTCCCGACTGAGCCGACAGCCCGGCCTGGGCCTGGCACTGCACCTGCCTGTTGGCTGTCAGAATTCTAGGTTGAGTCTTCTGTCACTTGCAACCCAAATTGGCATAAATGGAAGAATTAATTTGGCTTCTAAAATTAACAAGCCAGCATGGGCTTCAGGTATGGCTGGATCTAGGAGCTCAGTGATGGCATTAGTGCTGTGTTCCTCTCCCCCCGCCCCAGGATTTTGCAAGTGCTAAGCACCACTGTGGCACTGAACTCCATCTCCAGACTGCCTTGCTCTTGCTGCTAATCTCGTCCTCAGGTACCTTGGTCCCTGGCAGTGGCAGTGTGGCCACATCAGTTCCCTCAAGTCCAGTGGGACAGAGAAGCCTCAGCAGGGGCCTCTGTGTCCCCACTTTATGGGGTGTGGGCTTACCGTTGTTCTGTGTTGGCTATGACCCAGTTACCATGGCCAGGTGAATTCCTTGTGCTCACTGGCCTGGCCCCAGAAGTGAGGGGTGCAGGCAGCCAGGGTGGAGTTATATATACATTTTTTCGGTACCAGGGATTGAACTCAGGACCTTGTGCTTGTGAGGCAGGTGCAGTGCCACTGAGCTAAATCCCCAAGCCCTAGGGTGGAGTTCTAAACCCTGCGCTCCTGGTCTCTCTGTTCCCACCCCACCTTAAGACTCTGCATGCCCTGTACAAATGGATTCAGGGAGGCTGAGGCAGGAGGATTGCAGGTTTGAGCTCAGTCTGGGCAAATTAGCAACTTAGCAAGAGCCAGTCTCTTAAAAAAAAAAAAACCGAAAGAAGAAAGAAAGGGCTCCCGCTGAGCAAGATGCTGCTGCCTGGACATCGCTGGTCTCTGGTGTGACACCCCCACCCCCGTCACCCCTGGTGCCCAGCAGTGGCGGTGACCAGTTGGTGGAAAGAGCCCTTGCCTCCTGAAGGGTCCTGAGGTGCCTTGGTGGCCAGCTCAGACTGGCTCCCTGCCACCTCCTGCCACCTGCCTTCTTCCACCTCCAGCTACCTCTTACTTTGAGACATGCTTTTGCACTTCTCCTGCCTCAGCCTCCTGGAGTGCTGGGATTATAGGCGTGCACCACCACGTACAGCTCCTGTGTCCACTTTTGCACCGACCATCACTGCAGCCACCTTGACCACGGGCTGCAGCAGGCCAGGAAACCCTGCGCGTGGCCTGGGGCTCCTGTGCAGCCTTCCTGTCCCCGAGGCCCTGCCCCTTCTCACTCCTGCGCTCCTGCCCCATCCTCCCGTGTGGTCTGCTCTGGTGGGGTCTGCTCCAGCCCAGCCATGCCCTGAAGTCCTGCCCCTGATGGAAGCGCACGGATCCTCCTTTTCCCCTTTGGTTTCTGTGGCTAAACAAGGAGAACAACCAGCAATTTAGAAACCTGGGGAACACACTCAGGTGCGTCTCCCCCCGGGCTGTTTTCCAAAGTACGCCAGGGCGAGCTGGTTTTGGAGGCTGGGAAGAGGGGCCGAGCCAGGCCCCCTGGGCTCCTTGAGGCCCACTCCGTGCTCCTGGAGGTGCCTGGGCGGCTTGGGCCTTGGGAGCTGCTGGTGGGGATGATGCGTGGGAGGCATTACCACAGGGCGTGGGCTGTGGTGGAGCCCCAGTCCCTGAGCACTGCATCATCCTGTCCTGTGGCCATCGCTGTGGCAGAGCCTTTCACGCCGAGCGACACCCCAGCCCGTTTCATTTTTTATCTTATTTATTTTTCTTGAGACAGGCTCCTGCTAAGTTGTGAATTTGCCCGGCCTGGGCTCAAATTTGTGATCCTCCTGCCTCAGCCTCCCACAGTGCTGGGCCTACAGCCACAGGCCACCACGCCCGGCTTGTGCTGACCTTTTGTGGTGTGATTTGTGTTGTGTAACTCACTCCAGAGTGGCTGGAGCTTCGGTTTGAGCTGTCTGTGTGTGGTGGCCAGCCGGTGAGTCACAGGCGGGGTCTGGGGAAGGTGTCCCAGCCCGTGCTGGCTCAGTGTCTGGTTTCCCAGGCCCCAGGGATGGAACTCCACACACTGGGAAGTGCAGACTGGGCAGAACTTACCCTGCCTCGCACTGGAAATGGAGAAGCCTGGAACTAAGGTATTGCCAGGACCCGCTTGCCCCCAGAGCTCTGGGGAAGGCGCCTTGCTGTGTCCTCCTCACTCTGGTGGCTGCTGTCGGGCAATCCTGAGCATCCTCGGTGACAGGTGCATTGCTCCAGTCCCTGTCTTTTGTCACTGGTGCCTCTGGGCCTTCACACGGCTGTCCAATAAGGACACCAGTTAGTAGAGTTAGGGCCCACCCTAATCTAGTGTGACCTTGTTTTTTGAGACAGGGTCTCCTTATGTAGCCCAGGCTGGCCTTGAACCTGAGATCCTCCTGCCTCAGCCTCACCATACTGGGACGACAGGTGTGTGCCACCACACTGGGCTCCAACCCTCATTCAAATGTGCTAACTACAAAAAAATAGAGGCAGACAGGAGCCCCACCTGTGCCAGAGTGCCTCCCATTCAGCAGGAACTCCCTTCTCAGCAGTTTCTAGATCAGCATTCCGATGTCGCTGCTGCTCCCTTGGAGCTCTCGAGGGGTGAAACCCGATTAGACCAGGGTGCACAAAGCTCACCCATTCACTCTTTTGTGGGGATTGAGGGCTGGATAGATTCGCACAGATACTGTGCAACTTGCTTTGGGCTTCTAAATGTGATTTTCCTATTGTAACGTATTCGGCTTCGGGACTTCTTCGTTCACAAGACTTAACCAAACAAGCAAACCAAAGATGGATCCCTCACAGCCTGCAAGGCTCCGAGTCCTTGGAGTGGGAGTTGTGTCTTCGTGGCTCCCAATGCCTGCAGCAGCAGGAGAGAGCAGTAGCCAGACGCCACCACCCCGACAGAGAAAGTCCCCTCCCGATTCCAAATGTGTCACTGGATAGCCGCACTGGGAGCACGGTGGCCTGATTTCAGTGGAGGGCGAGAAGCCCGGGGAAACTGACTCTGCCGTGTGTGTCCAGGCCTGAAACTGAGCCGAGTTGGACAGGAAACTGCGACCAGGCAGGTCCCATGCAGGCAGGTAATGAGGACAGGACAGGGCTCGGGGATGGGTTCTCAGCACACTAGAGGCCTGGGTTCCAATTCCCAGAAGAGAGGGTGGGGAAATTGTCCTTTTATTAAGAATCCAAAATGCTGAAGTCAAGGACACCCTGCCAGAGCCACTCCCAATGGCCAGACACCACTGAGAGCTGAAAAGGGGTTCTTCATTTCTTGCCCCTTGTCTCCCGTCTTTTCTTTTTTGGGATACAGGGGATTGAACTCAGAGAGTGCAAGCTACATTCCAGCCATTATTATTATTATCATCATCATTATTATTTTAATATTTGAGGTGTGGCCTCTATAAATTGCCCAGGCTGGCCTCTAATTTGGGATCCTCCTGCCTCAGCCTCCTCAGTGCCAGGATTATAGGCATGTGCTACCACACCCATCTTGTTTTTGTTTAAGACAGGGTCTCACTATGAAGTCCAGGCTGAATTTGAACTCACTAAGTACCCCAGCCTGGCCTCTAACTTTCCATTCTCCTGCCTCAGCCTCCTGAGTGCTGGAATTTCAGGTGCACACCACCCTATGAAGCTTAAATTGACTTTAACTATGGGGAAGGTGGAATGGGTGTAGCTCAGTGGTGGACCCTATGTTTAGCATGCTGGGCGCCCTGGCTTTCTCTCACAGCACCAAGAAAAAGAAAGTTCGGGAGGTGTCAGGAAACAGATGGAAAGGGCGCACTTCCCCCGCTGGGAGAAAGGTGGAGCTGGGCGTGTGGCCTCCTCCTGCCGCTGCCCGTCCGCAGCAATCCACCTGGCCGAGAACGTCCATCATTCGGCCTGCATTTGGAGCTGGGAGGCCAGGGGAGCCAGGGCTGGCCCGCTGCGTCCGTCTGGCCTGCTGCTGAGGGCGGCTCCTGTGGAGGAGCCCCGAGGCTGTCCCGGGCCTGGCTCCCTGCTGGGAGTCCCGTCTCCCCCTCAGCTCGCAGTCCACCGCGCTCTCTCTGGGGAGTCTCCCACCTCCATTTTATGAGAACTTGATGTACAGGACTCTGAAATTAAGTGGTGAAAACAGTTACTAAAGCTTTACATTGTGCAAAAAGAGTTCTTCTCCCTCAT